AGCTTCAGAAGGTCTCTGAAGTTCTCTTTCTTGTTTTGTTTTGATGAATTTTTCAGCTTTCCCTTTCTCTCAATGCTTTCAATTTCTGGAAACTCTTAAAGAAGACAGTGCTCAAACTTCAGGAAACTTTCGTCATCTTAGGCCTCATTTGTGTTAGAAAAAATAATAGGAAATATAATTGAAGAAAAAGATGACTTTGAGGCGTGTAATATCACTTTCCTTAAAGAGATATTGTCCATCTACATAAAGGGGTAAATACAAACGATTCTTTTCAGGATGCAACAAAGTCTTTTGTTTATACATGCATATTTTTTCTAGGCTACTTCTAGAGAGTCTTTATATTAATAGAACTTAAGAGATGACTCTTTATAAGAGTCATGTTATTTCATGAACATATGACTTTTCATAAGATTCATGTTCTTTCATGAACAAATAGCTTTTCATAAGAGTCATGTTCTTTCATGAACAAACAACTTTTCATAACAACCATATTCTTTTATGAATAAATGTGTTTGTTCAATTTAAAATCTCTATATGTTACAAAATATTCAACAATTTGTTTCCATTAAGATTCAGACGTTTGAATATGATTAGTATCTGAATATTAAGATGTGAATTAAGATTCAGGTGTTTGGATCTGAATACACGTCTGAATGTTGATGAGTGGTAGGTTTGCTCTCATTTAAGGTCCATTTAGTTCGATAATTAGTGTCCTCAATGCCTAATTTTTTCATATTCTGATAGAATGTTGATGATTTGCAGCTATGAAGACAATTGGACAAGGCGAGGATTGATGTTTGAAAGAATGGTGAAAAGTGAAGAAAGAAGTGCAAACTATACATTGTTGATCGCTTAACATGAAGGCGGATCGCCAATTGAACACGACCTCACCCAAAATGACAGCTCATATCACTTGTGTCTATCAAATCAGGTCGGCGGAATCTAGTGGAGAAGGCGATGCGCCGAATGAGAAAGGCGACCTTGATGAACATCGCCTAAAATGATAGTGTGAAAAGAAAAGATTGAATGCTCGAAAGGCGAGCCAAGGTGTTGGTACTTGGTGATTCGCTGAACGTGAAAGGCTGACTTAATCGAGTTTACCAACTGGTTCAAAACACCTGAAGCCTAGAGCATTAGAAGTCGAACTGAGGAGCAAGAGGTGTTGTGCTGAACAAGTTCAGCTAGCCCGATTAATGTCGCCGACTGAGTCGTGTATTGGAATTTCGGGTCTAATTTTGAATATCTCAAAGGAGAGAGAAATTAGAGATCAAATGATATAGAATAGAAAATATCAGAGTGTGTGAAGATTTTAGAGAGAAAATACTTTACTTTTGAAGAATAATTTTCTAGATTTTGGGGTTTTACAACTTTGTGCTTGAAATTGAAAAATTGAAGTTGAATCTAAAGTGGGATTATTTGTAATTGCTTAATTTAATGTTACCCATGACTGCTTTCATGGAGAGTATAATCTCTTTATTTTTTGTGATGGGTGGCTAAAATCCCAAGATCTAGGGGTGTAATTATGGGGTTGGGTGTTGATTTAATGTAGTGGGTATTGTGCTATGCTCTGGTTTACTGTTGTTCATACATGAATTTGGTCTAATTATCATGGGGTTAATTTATGGGTTAATGTTGCAAACTTAATTCCTACTTTTGATCTCCGATTGATGTTTGAAAGAGATTTATCGGAGTGGGTAATTAGTTTGATACTAGCAATTTAGGTTTGATGTATGTAACTTGCTTGAAAATAGATGTTGTGGGTCACATCTATTTGCCCTATTTTTGAAAGAGAGAATTAGAGTAAGGTATTGGGTTGTTTAGTTTGACATTTAGATGAGACCGAAAGGAGATTTTATGCACAGATGTTTTGAGATCGAAAGATGATTAGCGTCAATGAAGATGACTTAGCCTATTCATGAATGCTTATCACTATAGAGCAACAAAATTAAACCCCTATGTGACATCAATTTCCAATCCCCACACCTCTAGATTGTTTATTAACTCTTGAAATCTTCGACATTTTAGTTTAATTGTAATAATTGAAAACCAAAGATTTATATAAAATTGGTGGAAGTATCCACCCAGTTATTCTTACTATTGCAAATGAATGATCTTAAAATTCAAATCTCTTGATAGTATTTTTCCATGATAAACCATTCTCTGTAGATTCAACTCCGACTCTTCGTTGGATTTTTTATTGACTATGACCGCTGTCCCATTTAATGGTTTTAAGGAGGACATTTGAGTGTTATCAAATATTAAGATGTGGTCTCTAAATCTGAACACTGAATAATAAATACTATTTGTTTTTAATATATGAATGTGTATGTAAAATTAAACATTATATTAATAAAATATTATTAAATTTCATTTCAATAAAAAATATTACTTTTGATAAAAAAAAAAATTCCAAGTGTTTACATTTGATTTAAAAAAAATTAAATTATATAACATGCAAATAAAAGTTATTGTAACATGAATATTTTTAAGAATTCAACATAAACATCACTTCATAAAGAGAATTATTCAACTGAGTTGTAACACCCCTAAATACTAACCAAGAGTCGCATGTCGATACACCATTCCTTAATTACTTTAGTTTGTTGTATTCTCATTTTAGGAACCTGAAATTTTACGATATTTGCAACCTTGCTTAACATAAATTGTGATAGTAATTTAAGGGATTGTATTGGGGTATTTATGTAATTTTCATTTTAGAATTACCTATAACTTGAAAAGGTGGTGAGGTATATACATATAGGTATATATGTATGCATTTTGGGCCGCACACTTTTTATTTGGGCAACACCTTTTAAGGACAGTTGTAAAGTGATAAACATCACTTTTGTGACTATATTTTCACACCTCCTCTAGTGAAATTCAAGTTCCTTTAACTCTAAGAAACCTGGAGAACTTCCTCTAACCCTGGTCCTTTTACCTGGAAGTCGAGACACATCCTACCTTTTGATGAGTAATCGAAATCTATTTTTGAGCTGAGTAGTGTTTCGTATTTTTAGAATATCTCGTTCTCTAGAACTCATTTTTCGGTGAATTAATATGATTTGGAAAGCTAATTCTTATACCTACAACTATTAAGTTTATGTAAAACTCTAATATATCTGTTATGGATTAGAAATATGGGACGCAACATAGGACAAGTTTTGTCCAGATTCCGAAATAATTAGAAATCATGTATGTTCAACTATTAGTGTTTTGATTATATTTTTTGTACAAAATGTATTTTGCGACGATTCATGATTATTTCCAAGCTTAAGAGATGTACCTACATCTTTCATGAAGGATATAAAGTCCAGTTTTGCTGTTTTTCTTTTCAAATATAAGTTGCGACATGAGGTACTTGGTTGGCCAAAATTACTGTTTTGGGAGCAGAGTCGTATTTGTATAGGCTAGACTTACTTATGATGATAATCCTATTATACGTCAACATTATTGAGCTACTAGTAATTAAAGAAGTTATTCAATTTTATTTTTAAGGTTGTATATACTCGTGAACAAGTTGAGGACCTTGATACATTGGTTGGTCTACGGTTTGAACTCTTGAAGTTGTGTTGGACTGTTTCTATGCTAAAGCACCGAGGTTTGTGTATAAACTTGTACTTGCACTCTTTTTACCTACTGGTATATTTGAAAGTTTATCTTGGTACTTTGGTTACCTCTCGTCACTTTGCATTGTCGTGTTGGTATCCTTTAAGACATTAAAGACACTTGTGTAACTCGCCCACTTGTACATATTGTTTGATAACCTGGCACTCTTGTTGGGACCTTTTACTTCTTGTGGCTGTGACTTTGTCACTATTGACGTGCCTCTTGATTCAGATCATTTTCCATCTTGACTCTGGATTTTTAGTTCGTCTTAAGTATGGAAGTTGTCCATTTTAAGTACGAACTAGAAAACCATTTTTAATATGGTTCTTGGCTCTCTTAATTATTGGGTTTTGACCCTTCTTGATGCAGGGCGTCTGTCCTTCTTGATACCTGCTTATGCTTGATGTGATGACATGATGTATATATTGGGCGCGCCTTGTTATTGAATCTCTTGGAAAATGGTGCTATGAGCGTTCTTGACATTTGGATCTTTAAATATTGAACTTGACACTCTTAATATGTCTACTTGATTTATTTATTATGTTTCATTTGTGCTGCCCATGGCTTGAGAAAGGTAGCTTGATGAATCTGTGGGTTACGGACCTATAGTTTTTACACCACTAAGCTATATGCTTAGCGATAGTTGTTTCTATCGTAGGGAATGTTAGAGAGGATGCATGAAGCTGGCCATTGGAGATGGAGGTTTTGAGAACCTTAAGGAAGATCACATTTGCATATAGGCATCTATATTTTGTATAAACTTTGGGACTTGTACATGATCTATGTGTTGTACATTTACATGAAATTTTGAAGGCTAATTTGATCATGTCACCATGGGTTGTAATATAAGTATGGCTATATGTTTTGTTTTTTTTGGGGTGTGTAAACCCAAGTCTTGTAATATACTAAATTTACTATTTGTGTGAAGCATGAACCGGCTAATTTTGGTACTCGAAAGTTGGTAATATTCTTTTTATATCATTTTTAAGTGTGAGGATAATATATGCATGAAAATCTCGTAAGTTATTTGCTTCGATATTTTTGGAAGGGTTCTTCCACCACAAGTTAAAATTCTGCGCAATATCAATTTGACATCAACTTAATGTGTAAATGGGCAAGCTTCACTTCCTTAACTATTTTTTTATGAACCTAATTCCTCTACTAGATTATAATCAATATGCCCTCGTTAATCTCTTTTAAATGTCGCAAGTATTAAATTAGATTTCTTCTTTAAGTGGTAGTATCCTTCCGAAAGTGTCGCTACATGATCAAATCTTTTTCAGATTCAATTGGTCAAATATAAGATAATTTAATAATTAATTATAAAATAGTATGATCAAATTCTAATGTTCAAATATTTATAAAACATGTCAAATTTTGAAAATATAGAACTCTCAAGTATTCCCTCTTCTTTGCATTAGTTGAAGTGCAGGTTTCTCACACATATTATTCATTATCTGTGAATCTGCAGTTGTCCAACCATGTCCATTTGTTTCATCCAACACTTCTTCGGGTTCTCCTTCTTCCTCATCAAATATTAATTGAGTTGACTCGTATTGATTAAAAATGTCATCATTTATACGCTCCTTTCTAATAAAATTATGAACTACAAAACATGCAACAACAACATTTCTCTGAACATCAATAGAATATGGAGGCATCTTATCCAATATAGGAAATCTTGCTTTAAGAACTCCATAAACGCGTTCTATAACATTTCTGAGCTGTGCATGACCACGGTTAAATTTTCCCTCCTTATTACTAGTCCGCCTAAGATGATAATCACCTAACCAATATCGAACGTTGCGATATGGGGCTAAAAATCCTCGAGTATTTGAATATGTCGCATCACATAGATAATACTTATCTGTCATTAAAATAATATTCAAATGGTCACAAAAAAAAAAAGAGAAACATTATTTCATAATATTTTGTGTTGTATAACTTACTAGGAGGAGGAAATGAAAAACCATTATACATCTGAATTAGATACAATCTCCGTTAGAACTCGTGCATCATATGGTACTCCTTCCCATCTAGCATAAACATAAGTGAGCATGATTCCAGGCTGGTCTGATTTGTGGACTGATATATAGATTTGTTAATGCGTAGTGTACGTAGCCTAACATTCAACCAAGAAGATAAATTGGAACATTAATTTTGATAATTCGTTTCATTCTTTTTCTACCTGCAATATGGAAGCGCGGTTTCCCTTGGATGAATATGAATTCTATTTAGAAAATTGTTTATGTTCTAATTTTACTTGATATGGAATCCGAGGCGTATCCAGGATTTCTAGATCGGAACTTCACCATCAAGACCACTCACCGGAACATTTTTGTAATACAAATCATCAACTCTTTAAATCATTGCTTGATAAGCCCTTACAGCTATCTTGCTGAGTAAGAACAATATCTAATAACAAGAGTACATGAATTAGACTATGATTAAACAGAGAGTTAGCTGTCTGGATGGTCACTCAACTTACGATAAATGATAATCATATATAGTCCCTCGAAGATTATCATTTACCTTAAGTTAAGTGACCATCCAAACAACTAACACTCACTTTAATCATAGTTTGAATCGTGTAATCTTGTTATTATAGGGCTACATATATTACACTATATCTCCCACCTTTTTTCTTCTTATTATTATCAATATTGTTTTTGTATTATTTGTAGGAGATTTCAAGATTTGCAAAATATTGAGTCAAAGCATGAAGCGCAAGATAATTATTGTTGAAGATAAAAAAAGAAAAAGAGGTTTGCTCCTTATACAAATGACACTTTTTTTAGTTACTACTTCGTAATCTGTGAATTTTATTTTTCATTTTAAATGTGAATCTTAAATTGATAAAATAGTATTCCAAGGCGTTCATTCATTTGGAAAACTGGTCAAATATATACCATGAGTGAAGACACCAATTAACTAATTAGTTTTTCTTTTTCATTTGAGTCTGATTAAATTTAGATTTGCACCCAAAAAGTCCCACATTGGAGGATAAATTACTCCCCCAAACAAAGGCGACTCCGTATCGAAGGAGACTCAAACTTGAGACCTCTTGATTAAAGATGAAAGAGTACTTACCGCTTCACCACAACCTTTATTGGTGAATTAACTAATCAACTTAATTGTACTAAAATCAAACTCCAATTAGACTAAAAGATATTTATTAGCTGGAATTTCTAATAAAATCCAATCAAAGTGATACTTTTGATAACCAGACAATATGATTCTCTTTTATTTTAATGTGACATAGAAAAAAAAATTATTATAAAAGTTGAATAAACACCCATGAATTTTTAAACGTGCTTCTATATGTATTTATCAGTTTCGAGCCTAAAGCGACGAGATTGACTACGTCGCTTTTGGCCAAAAAAGCGATGCAGTCCGTCGCTTTTTCCCCTCTCTTTTTGGCAGTTTTTTAGTAGTGGGAGGAGGGCAACGAATGTTATGGCTATCGTCTTTTATTTCTCTGAGGGAATAAGTAAAATAGCAAAATTGCTTATAGTTATTGACTTTTAGATGCAGTTGTCTTTTATTGCCATTGAAAAGAGTTTTTTTTCGGCCAATGTGCATTTGCCGCTATATCTCATTTTAGAGAACATATTAGTGGCAATTATTTTATTGCTGCTAAATAATTGCCACTAAAAGTATTTTTTGGTGTAGTGAATTCACATGAAAGCTACTGTGGATTCAATTAAGTAATACTAGAGCTATTATTACACGAACAAAGTGATTCAAATAAGAGAAAGTGTGACAATACTATGTGAATGAATTTTGATGGACTTGGACTTATGGTTGTAAAAGTTAGACTAAAATTTAACTGTTGAGTTTGAGAAAATGATAAAGTTAAAGACTTGAGTTATTGAAAATTTAACAAAATATTTATATTTTATTTATGACTAATATATAAATAATTATAAAATTTGTATATATAATTTCTCAATTTAGTTTGGTTATTTTTGTGGGTTTTTCTTAGTGAAATCAAAACTAAATCAAATAGTATTGGTTTTCAAAATTGAAACCAAATCTAACCAAACCAAATATCAATTTTTTAATCGATTTAGTTCGGATTGTGATTTGGTTTGATTTTTTAACCATGACCATGAATAGCCCTAGGAGTAATAATAATACTCTCCTATCCCTATTTACTAGTGCATTTTTTACTTGGCATACTTGTTAAGAAAATAATAATTGATATGTGAGTTTATCATTTTACCTCTACTAGTTGATAGAATTTCAAAATTAATTTACTCAATGAAGATATTGTGCCTTTTTGGAAAAAATAAGCATCTAAATAAATTGAGGGTATAATATGAAGAAAAAAAATGATAAGTAGGGTTTGTTTTCCTAGGTTGTTCGAAAAACACAATCTGTCAGTGATTCTGAATGTGGTGTGTGTCATAGTTGTTGCCCTTGTCCTTGTGTGTTGGCTGCCTTGAATTTCATTACTGGTTTGTCTCTTGATACTAGTTGTTTGATTTTAGTAAAAGTTTGGTTTTGTGCTTGTGGACTCATTTTAAGTTATATAAAGCTAACATGATTTTGATAAGAGTCTCTTTTAATTTTTTCTTTAGTGTGATTGGATGATGCTCTTACATCTATCTGACTAATCTGTAAAAAAAAATAAAAATATACGTAAGTCTTCTAAGCTTAATTTGTGCTTGTCTTGTTGCAGGGCAAGGACGCACACTAAGGACAAGAGTTATTGTCATGAAACCACTAGTATTTTTTTTTCTTCTGTCCCTTGTTTTTTCCTTTGTAACATATAATCTGATTACCATGGTTATAAGGTATACATTTGTTGGCTTTGAGAAATCAAACTCAAAGGCTGTTGGTTTCACTCAACTATTTCTTGATCCCATTATTCACATGCCTCACAATCTCACAAAACCTAAACCCCAAAAGTTGTTATTCCATATTGCATTAACAGCAACTGATACTCCTTATAGCAAGTGGCAATGCCGCATCATGTACTATTGGTATTTGAAAAAGAAGAATTTACCAGGTTCAGAGATGGGAAAATTCACTCGAATCCTTCATTCAGGAACCCCTGACAATCTAATGGATGAAATTCCCACATTTGTCGTTGATCCTCTTCCACAAGGTTTTGATATGGTCAGAAACATGCCTTTCTTTCCAGTCAGGTTTTGGCATCAAATGTTATTTTAGACTCACTCATCAATCATGGTTAGTTTGCTGCTTGCAGGGTTACATTGTCCTCAATAGACCTTGGGCATTCGTTCAGTGGTTGGAGAAGGCTACCATAGAAGAGGAGTGAGTTCTCAAATGTTTAATTATGTGAAAAATCTGGTTGACTGCATAACAATCTTAGCCTTTTCTATTGTGGCAGATACATACTTATGGCAGAGCCTGATCACATTTTTTTGAACCCGCTCCCAAATTTAGCTTATGGAGATTACCCAGTTGCTTTCCCTTTTTTCTACATGAAACCTGCCGAACACGAGGAGATCATAAGGAAATTCTTTCCCAAAGAAAATGGTCCTGTAACAAATGTTGATCCCATTGGAAATTCCCCGGTCATCATTAAGAAGGTATATTTTTACCTTTATTTAGGTATTCATGTCGCTAAGGGCATTTTAATATGTTTATGTACTTGATACTAATTTCTTGTTTATCCTAGTTATGGGTGATCTAACCCACATAATACATGATGAGGTCCCATGGTAGATGCTATTTGCCAATTGTGAAAAATATGAGGGAAGAATATTATTAAATTATTGTTGTGTCTACATTCTTACATTTAGACCCTATTTATAGACACTAGAATATAATCCATTACCAAGTAGGATACTATTTACTATTCCTATTTCTATTTGTATGATCATGTTCCTATTCTAATAGGATTGTTTAACCTAACACCAATGATATTGTGTTAATTGACAAACCCAACGAGGGTATCAACCAGTAGCTTGAACTTTGGAGAAGCACTTTAGAGAGTAAGAGTTTGATGATAAGTAGAAGTAATTAGTTTGACCGAATACATGCTCCGCAAGTTTAGTTAACACTAGAAGAGCGAAGTTGATGTAAGACAAGACGGCAATTGCGGTGCCAAAATGCAAATAATTTACATATGTTGGTTTGTTGTTTCAAGAGAATGGAATCATAAATGGAGATGTTACTCACGGTGTTGTCATAGGCCTGCTTAAGACTTGAAGTAAGGCTCAAAAGGAAACCTGAAATCCCCACAAACTACTCAAGAGCTTGAGCATAGACCCCCAATTTCCCCCATACTTGTTCTCTTTCTTCCGTCATTGGGACCATAAATGCTGCCAAGAAAAATGTGGGTATGAATTCACAAGTAATCTAACAGTCTCTCACACTAGTTACGTCACCTGCTCATGATCTCCCATCCCAAAGAATAATTCCTCCCCTAGTTCCAGTAGCTTCAAGTTGACACATAAATTGGTTTCCCACAAGACTTTCACAAAATTCTTGATATCACCTTCTACTTTGGACTCTCGAAATCAACGTTCCAACTATGGATGAGGCTCATATATGCTTGCTTGATTTAGTTTCCTCACATTCCAGGATACTTATCTTGACTGTCATTGATCATTAGCTTTATCATATCCCCCTACTCCTTGTACCTTTACTTTTGAAAGTATTGCCGATATCTAGACTGTTCATTTCTTTAGAGCTTTTAATTTTTTTGTCATACCCGCCGATTTTTCAATATCAGCTTGTTTGAGGTTGTCAATCTTCATAAATAACTGCAAGGTTATCTAGACAAAAATTATTGTTGATGTTGTTAATATTATCTATATGTATCTTTTGAGTTTTATTTTCATTAATTATTCAGAATAAGCCCTCTTCAATTTCATTGATGTGTCTCTACCATGTCATTCCTCATTTACTAAATTTTCCGTGTGAGCATATTTCTGTCCCGTGTCTGTTTGTATACCACTAGATTGTTATTAGTTATAGGTCTCTCAATTTATTACAACTACATAAATTCTTGGATCAGCACTTTGTGCTTATTTTGCACTTGTTTTTTTTTAGTCTTGTGATTTCAAGGAATTGTTTTTGGTTTATGCAGAATTTGTTGGAGCAAGTTGCAACTACATGGATGAATATTTCTCTAAGAATGAAGCATGATGAAGAAACGGATAAAACTTTTGGCTGGGTCTTAGAAATGTGAGAGATCTACTAATTAATGAGTAGAAAGATGTAGGTTTTGTCGTCATAACTGTGCTTTTGACTCATCTATTTTCTGAATTAAGGTATGCGTATGCTGTAGCTTCTGCTTTGCATGGTGTGCAGCATATTCTTCGGAAAGACTTTATGCTACAGGTTTTGATCTGTATTACTAAACAGTCTAGTCTTTGTGATTCATTTCTTTTTTTTTTTTACTTTTCATAAGTAATCTTGAATTTTAAATATTTTAGCCACCCTGGGATTTGGACACTAGAAAAAAGTTTATCCTCCATTACACTTATGCGTGTGACTACAACATGAAGGTAGAGTTATTATTATTTGTGTACTTAAGTTTCAATCTTTGTATTATGGTCTTAATGAGTAATCTTATGCCGTAGCTTGTTGTTCAGGGTGTGCTTACTTATGGAAAAATTGGAGACTGGCGATTTAATAAGAGGTCCTATATCAAAGGACCTCCACCTAAAAATCTATCCCTGCCTCCACCTAACGTCCCTGAAAGTGTGGTATGTATATACAAATACAGTTCTCTATTGCACTATTCAATTAACATGGTTAGTGTGGTACAATTTTTTGAATAAATATTGTTGTCTTAAAACATTGCAATTATTAGTTAGATACAGAATTGTTTGGCTTTGTTAGATGAGCAGAATGATTTGGTTGCCAGTATTCACTAAGTAGTATGTTGTTAAAGGGGCAATAATATTCATTCCAGGAGAATCAATTGGCTCTTAAAGCTACAAGTGAAGAATAAGGATGACAACCGGTGTATGTGTAGTTTTGCCTCTTATTAGCATGCTTGATTCTAGCCCTACTATTCAATCCTGAAATAGAGGAAAGCATGGGTAGTAGATTTATCCCATTTGAATCTACGTCACTATTCATTCCAACCAATCCATAAACAAAGTAGATCAAGTGTAGTATTTTTGTTTCTGATAACCAACAAGTAAGCCCTACTTGTCACATAGGTTCAAAACTTAGACGAGTATTATGTACCTGCATTACATTGAATATAGGTATTTGCTTCAAGGCAAAAAAATAAAGACTCAAGTAGGCATCAACTATAACAAGAAATACAATCTTATTGAAGTTGGTTATTACCCACATAAAACAGGTCTCCTTGTATGAGTTCTTAGTCACAGCCTTAGCCCGCAAAATAGCCCATATTATAATTGGTTGGGTGAGTTACTTTTTAGATAGATAAAATATATGTTTATACCCATATTTAACCCATAGAAATATGGGTATTCATGGGTAAAATATGGGTTAGCCAAATCGGTTAAGCTTTCAACTTTTATTCACTCAAAATTCAACATATCACCAAAAGTGTTTTAACTTCTCTTCTTTTTTATGCTCCTAATTATTCTTCTCTATAATTGAAAAAGATAAAGTGTTTGACCCTCCAAATAAATATATACTATATTACATGTCCATTTCTTTTGTTAATTATAATTATATTTTTTTTATTTGTTTAATTTTATATTGGATAACAAATAATAGTGTAAGTAAGCAAATCATGTATTAGTATTGATATTGCGTAAAGTGCATTAAGCACGTTTTACTCCTAAAATGCAAATATTCATTTACATTGAAATTTAAAATATTTTTTCCTTGTTATTACATAAATTTATTTTATATTGAAAGTTAATAGGAATCTTTTTTTACTTTGATGATACAATAGAACTAAATAAAATATTTTCAACATTTTTCATCTAAAATAAAGACTAAAATATTTTATCCATGTTTTATTATAAAGTAAAGTACTATTTTATTCATCGAAATATGGGTAAATATGGGTAAACTTGTATTTTACCCAACCCATTTGTTACCCATATGAAATATGAGCTGGTTGAATTATTACCCATTTTATGTTGACTATTTTTAACCCGCCTAAATTTTATCAAACCGCCCCATTTGCCACCACTAGTCACATGATATTGAATAAACCTTACCCCCTATACAAGAACCAGGTTCTTGTACGTTTACCAAAATAAACAATCGCACCACAATAAAAAAAGATTTTATCATGGAAACCTTCCTCAAGGAAGGAATAAACCACACCACAATTTTATTACCATTAAGAACAATTCAAGATTAGAACTCAATAATCAATGAACTAACTCTAGTACCTTTAATCTCTATCGATTAACTATAATCGAAGACTCTACTCTCTAAGAAGTCAAACTCGCTTCTTGTTACAGTGCTCTCAAACTCTCTTAACTCAACTCCCCAAGAGTCAAAACCCACTTCCTGTTATAATTCTCAAACTCTCTCTTTTCTCTCTTAGAACACACCTCCTAATCACTGATTCAAGAAGAACCAATGTAACACATTACTTCAGAAAGAACACCCAACTCTAGTACTTCCACATTTACTCGTTTCCTCTTTTAACTCCGCTTGGTGTTTTTGACACGCTTTTCCTATTTTATCTCTGAATAATTGAACTCTTCCCGCCTCTTTCTTTTAAGTCTGGTATGTGTTATGTGAACCTTGTTCATGCTGACATCATCAAAAGTATTTTGAGCAATTCATTATTCATCAATTTCCCCCTTTTTGATGATGACAAATATACTACATTTCGTACACCTATGTCAGCCAAACACTTCCCCCTTTTGACATATCAAAAAAGGGATAAAGATCATAACAACAGGAGATCATTACAATCGCATAGCTATAGGGGCACCACTTAGACATGATAACATAAGGTGAACAAGATATAAGGATATTAGCCATCCAAACAAAAAGATAAGAACAAATCAAAGACCAATAATCAAGCAAAACAGTATGCATCAGGTTTAAGTTCACAGAGCTCCAAAAAAATATCCAACATTGACACAAAACATAGCTATTCACGAGATTGTCTCCAAAGAAGCCAAAAGGAATGATTTAGGAGGTGCAAGGAGGGGATGGGGGTAGGTGGGGTATGAGATAGGGCCAAGAACTCTAACACATGATCCACACGAGCATTGTTGCAGTAGTAACTGGTCCTTCAATCTAGCTACTCCCCCCTATGACTTAGCTAGGTTAGTACAAAGAGTATCAATCTCAGTAAGTAAGGAGGGCAACATTATGTTCCCTGGCAGCATAAAGATCATTAAGAAGAATGGCAACTAGGCCAGTACCCTAGGAGCAGTAGCAGAATTTGGTCGTCATTATCAAGCAGTCTACAGTCAGCAAGAGTAGACCTAAGTATTCATATCCTTCCTTTTCAGAACTCTCCATTCCCTTAAGGGAACATTAATATCTTCAAACATAATAGTGGAGAGGTTGCTAAAATTCAACTGATGAGCACCAGGTTTAGGATCAATCACGCGTGGCATGTGTTTTATCATAAGAGAAGGCCAGCCAATAGGTTCTTTGTTTTTCGAGGGCATTGGCTATCCCCATGTCCTTAAAGGAAGCCTCATGGCATTTCACCCCCTAGAAAGAACCCCCTTGTGCACTAATTCGTACAACAATTTGTGAAAAAGTGTCATTTTCCCTTTAAGAACCTTTCTTGGTTGTGCAAAGACCCTCCCTTGTGTGTACTTAGATGTGAGCAAACAATTTTCATCTTTTGTCCACATGTATTCACCTAGCCCATCAATTGGAATATGAAAAATTTCATGAATACGGACATTATCAAATATTAATTCAACCCCATCGACAGAGGAAGTAGAAACGTTATCTTCTAACACATTTACGTTCACATAAAATTCAAATACCTCATTTTCATAGACCTCTAACCTTGTGTCTAGAACCATCCAACCTTGAAAGTACAACAAGTCAAGCACCTTTTAACCACATCTAAAGTTTGAACCTCGGGATGAGAGGTTGTCCCCCTCAAAACTGCTTTAGACCCAAAATACATTTCCTTCCCCATTGCCAAGTACTTAGCCAAATTCTTATTTTTTGTGGGGGAGAGAGGAACTAGAGGAAATAGAATCATCAGGTGCCTCATCACGGTCTGAATCAAGAACAATAGGAGACTGAGGGGAGTGAACCAGAGACTTACCGGCGTGATGACATTTCTTGCTTGATTCAACAACCTCATTGAGTTGGGCCTGACTAGCGCTTTGTGTGAATGAGACGTGGATAATGGTCTGCTTTTGATCAATATGCTTGCATGGTTTCTAAGGAACAATTTCGCGTAGTTGATTAAGGGGAACCTCATCGATGTCTAGGTTTTGTTAATAAGTGGTGTGGGTGGGCATTGGGGTAGGAGTGGATGTAGGGAGAGGGATTTCTTGGGATAGTTGTGGGACTAATGGTCTTAAAGGAGTGGATATTTGGGAAAGAAAATTAGAGTTAGGGTTTTCGACAGGCGGTGGAGATGGTGAGGGAGTGAAAGGGTCACTGGAGGCGCATAGTGGTAGACGAGAGCATGACCCGATCAAAAATGGTGACCGGTGAGGATGGAATTGATGAGGCGGAGATGAATGTGTGGTGGAGGTGACGCCTTCCCTCCTGAGATGATTCCCTAGGTGAATCGGGCATGGATGCCTTTTCCGGTGAGGAGGAGTCCTCATCAACGGAGTAGGAGACTAGGTTTCGTGGTGTAGACATTATGAGGGTTTATGGGTTTGACGAGATTTGGGGTACGTATGTGAGAGACGAGTGTATAGGATTATTGTAATGAAGGAGTAATGATGGGATTCTAACATTTGATCGAAAGTTTAATAGACGGTTGAGTTTCGTAAAAGAGTAGTGACTGTGGATTATAGATAATGAGTTTCCCGCGTAAATGTCAAGGTTTTTAAAGGTGGGTGTATTTAGATGGACCAAGTTCATAAGCTTTTTTCAATACAAAATCAAATGTTGGAATGTGATGCAAAATGGAATATAATGAGGATTGATGAATACCTATTAAGACGAGAACATGTTCCTTGACAAGAGAGCTCCTTTGCAACATGGTTATAGAAATCTGAGGGTAATATTATTAGACCTGATTGGAGTGTTGTCTTACTGTAAATGTATACGTGTGACAAGGTACAAAGATGAGTTAATGACAATTATGTGCTGAGATCATTCTTTAATTCTTTCATCATGAATTTGCCTTGTAAGAGAAAAGTCATTCTTGATACACCATCCCCAAGGCCAGTCGATTTTGTTGAAATTGTTCTCTTCCAAGTGCTTTGGTAAAGATATCGGCAACCTGGTCTTTATTCATATAAAAATTCATGATGTTGAGTATGTTCTCCACATTGTCCCCGAGAAAGTGGTGTACATATATATGCTTTGTTCGTTTGTGTTCGACTGGGTTATTTTCCATATTCATAGCATATGTGTTGTCGCATCTGATAGGTATACAACCTACTTTAATTCTAAAATCTTCAAGCTACTGCTTTATCTATAGGATTTGAGCACAACAAGAAGCAGTTGTGATATATTCAGCTTCAGCAGTTGATAGGAAAACCAAGTTCTGCTTCTTTGTAGCCTAAGACACTAGGCATGCTCCCATAAAGTGATCCATTCCTGACGTACTTTTTCTATCCACTAAGTATCCAGTGTAGAACTAGGTTCACAG